GAAAAGCATCGGTGGTTGGTCGTATACGCTGGCTTGGGGAGTTCGTGCATGCGGTGATGGAGGTTGTAGTTCGCATGTGAGTCAACGGTCGACCGTGCACAAGCCTCACGTCTCTTAGCATGGTCGTGCGTGCTCGGTCACTACTTCGCGTGGCTACACCCAGCCAAGGCCGGCGTTCGATTCAAGGTTCCGAGTCCACTATTTTACCCAAAAAACACTATAACACACGAAAAGATCACACATTTGCGATAGACGAGAATCCTCAAAAGAATTCGAATACGATTTTCCCGTCAGGAGTAATCTCAATCAATAGCTCCTGCCCGGAATTACAGCAACTAGCTCGCCTCGACTCTTCCAACTAACAGTGTCGACTGTCACGTCAGCTCTTACCCAAGTAGCTAACCGTGCCAGTAGTCCTGATCGAGCGCAACTCACTTCCCAATCTTCACACTTTGGATTTTGAACGCGAAGTTCCTCCCGGTATTCCGAAAGGAGTATAAGAACAAAAATTTCTACGATGAACAAAATTTAGAATAAGGACGGTTCTGCACTACGCGATGTGCTTGCTTCTGACTCGACTATCCTCCTTAACAAACTTCTGCATAATCTTTTAATGTGGAAAAACACTCCATTTTCTTATCGAACCGAATTGTGCTGGCTTCAGCTCCTATACATTTATCTCAATGCCGAGTGTGAATAATTATTGTCCCCCTCGAGGTTAGGTTATTCACAAAAGTGGCGATAGAAAAGTTTTGCCCTCGAGTCTTCGTGATAATTTAGCGATGACATCCGAACAAAACTCACATACTACGCAAACGAATAAAGATAAGCAGAAACAAATAGATGCTCAATCTTACTTGCAATCGGGTTTTTCAAAAACAAGGTCAATACCCAACTTAGGATAAATAAGAATTGGCTAAACTTCAAGAGAAAATGAAATTTAAGGTTGGAAAGCTTGAAAAAAATAGCGAAACCATGGTAGGGTTTTGAAGACAGCTATACCCCATACAAAGCGAGAAGGAAAGAATTAGGTCGAACGCAAACCTCTTCTAGTGTCTATTGCTCGAGTTAGCGATATCACGAAACAAGTTTCAAAAATTTAAGGATCAACAGAAAATAAAAATGTTGAGGCTAAATCCCATCAGAATTTCTATGTCAGGAAGGGAAAATCTAGCGAGATCGCGAAAATTATATAGCAAGCAAGGGTCCCAAAAACAAACTTCAAACATGCCTACAAGGCAATTCTAAACAAGATTCTTAGACTCGCGGAGGCAGACTTGGATTTACAGAAAAATAAAATACTTAGCTCCATCCAATCTTCTTCTTACGTAGGGAAAGAAAACATAAGCGAAAGTTTTAAAGTCTGGAAATTGCATAGCCTAAAAGAAGTCTCAAGCACAATTCAACACTGGTCTGCCAACCGAAAAGGGAATAAAATAAGGTTTGCAAAAGCCTACAAGAAGGCAAAAGCTTAAGAAGGAACAAGACGGCTTCGCTTCTCCAAGTCCACAATTTACTGCCTTCACCATCAATTCCTGTTGTTTCCGGTAAGTCCTGTTGTCGCTAGGAAATCCCTCGCGGCGCAAACTACGGAAAAGAATTTTTGACGTCTCCATCAAGATAGAAATGTCACTTGAGGTTGCGGCATAAAATATGCACACGGTGCCGGATTCTATCCGCCTTAAGAACAAGGTCGGATTCCTTCGTTTGAGAATTTTTCGCAAAAGGATAGGTCACTATCGCCTTTCTCGAGGCTTAGCCACTCTCGAGAGTTGCGACGGTGTTATGTGTTAAGTTCTCCCACCACTCATCGTGGTCGAACAATAGCAGGGACAAGACACTCAGACTCTACTCCAGCTCGCACTCGACTGGGGGTCAAATACACATCTAATGGTCTAAATAACCTTGGTTACAGACCTCCGAATATCCCACACTTGGGACTTCTTCGGTTGTCTGCTCCCTTCGTTTAAGCCTTCTCCTTTCGAGATGGCTCGCAAATGGTCCTCATCCGAAGACACCAAAATATATCGAGAGGACTGTTATACACAGAACTTAGCTCGATAACATCATATCGAATTTCTAAACAAACAAGACCTCAAGTTAGAACTTAACTCTATATCGCTAGAGTTCAAGTTCATACAACTAAGGTTCGCCACTCATCTAGAGTTCCAGAACGTTTAAAAGTAGGAGGATAAATTCTTAAGCCCTAGTTTACATCTCATAATATCATAATACTTCACATAAGAAATTTTATATTACTCAAGTATTCATACCTGAGTTGGCGCGGCACGACGGAAGCGAGTGGTCATCTACTACATCATTTTATGCAAGTATTACACAGAGTTCTCATAATTCACGTATACCAGTCTACAGAAACGCAGACTGACTCTGATACCAAACTGTAACGCCCCACTTTGATTTTAAAGAAATTCCGTACTTTCAGAAAAATAAGAATAAATTTTCCAAAATTTATTTCAAACATTTGTGGCGCTACTCATATATTTCAAATTACTTCAACGACATAACATCAATTTCATAACATAAATCATCTAACTCAAAAATCGGGATTCATAAATCCCTAAATCATCAGTTCGCCCAAATCGGGTTTTTAAAACAAACCTCAAGTTGCAATACATAACAATGTCAACGGGGCATCTCTCCAATAGTATCTCAATACTTCATAAATTCTAAGAGTTCGAAAATTCATAAATCATAAATAATCATAAGTATAGCGGAAGCAAAATCAATTAATAACCGGTCTCATAGACCAACTACCACTCGCTCTACTCCGCCGTCGTACCCGCCTTGCTTAACCTGAAACGTTAATTTCAGGTGGGGATGAGCACAGTTGAAAAATCGTAGTGCTCACCACTATGCAATAAAAATTTTCATAACATAAACAGTAAAAGAGATAGTATGATCAGAGCATGTATAAAAATTAATTAAGTATCCCAAGTTTTCATCATAAATTCACAATGTTCAGACTCATGTGCACATCTATACCAATAGACTACTTCCGGTAGATGTATCGAAGGCCCTCACTTGGGTCATGCTTCGAATGCCCCATGGGCTCTACATCTATGCCCCCAGTCTTATACACCGAATGCCCCTCGAGCTTCTATCGATTCCCAACAGTAGGAGTAACCCCTCGGGTTTATTTTCATAAATACGGGACAACCGTTCAACGGCCGGTATAGCTCACATCGAAGGCTACATGATTTGTACGCACACATCAATCATACACAAGTAAAGCAAACAATTTATTACATAGACAATTTTTAATAAAACCCACCTGATACTGCAGAGGATGATGGTGAATGCACAACAATATCAAAAACGTACGTCGGGGGCTCGACTCCTCACACACCTACATATTAGGGTTTAATTATTACTAAAGGTTTTGATTGGGTTGATTAGGTCACACAAGCAAGTAAAGCACACTTCAACCACTAAACCGCATAAAAGGCTCAACACCGAACATGATCAATCAAAACCCAAAACACAACAAGTCAAAATTATAATATACAAAATTGAGATCACAGCAAGATAAAACCTGGTGTGCTCTAATGGTTCAACCAAATAATAATGCCACAGCAAAATAATGAGGTCACATAAAAGCAAAATAACAATGAAGCAAACTATAAAGAGCTTTTCTTTTCTCATGAGGTCACAATATGAAAGCATATTTTCATGTCTGTTATATCTTTTTCTTCTCAAGTCTAAACCTCCCACAACATACAAACATACTAACATGCCCTTTTTCTTCAAAAATAAACAAGCCTTTAACGCCTAATAAACTAAATTTAAGGGTATGGAAAACACGTCATTTAAGCATGCTAGTCATTCCAAAAGGCACAACAACAAAGACATTCTAAGATGGCCTAATTAATCATAATGATCAAACATACATGCTTTCACATTTCTCTTTCTTTATTCTCAAATATCGAACCACGTGCTACAGGTTTTACGCACTCATCTAAAGGATTTGAAAGTCATGCACATACTCAGCACAAAATCGCATGTTAAGCCCAGCAGCTAAGGGAAATCACACAACCAAAATCAAGCCTCCACTCATCTTATTTATCCTTTTATTTTTTTCAAGCTAAAGCGAACAATCATCAGATTAAAATTCTGTCCATTAAGCACATTTCCAACAGCTTAAACATATATTAGAGGCTCAGCAATTAAGCATACTGTACGGCCAAAGAAATCAACACAAGCATTTTCTCTTAATTGGTCAAGTTCATAACTGATCACAATTTAATCACACCAAAATTCATTCTCATTTTCCAATATATGAACTCGCAAAGTTTATTCTCAAAATCCACAAGATCCGTAACTTCACAAAGAAACGGATTTAAACACATGAAGTAAGACGAGGGGAGGAAAGTGGGATTCACCTGTCGAACACAACATGAAGTAACACGAGGGGAGGAAAGTGGGATTCACCTCTTGAACACAACGGGACTCGACTGAACGCGTGCGGTCTGGCCACATAGGGCTCGTGGCTGGGGTTTGCGACGGCTATAGGTGGCTAAAAGTGCATGAACAGGGGCTCGCCTCGGCTCACGGCTGCTGTCCGTGTGTGCCCCAAACGATGGCGGGACGGTTGCTGGTACTCGGCCGAAAAATGGGCCAGCTATTGCCCGGTGAAGAACACGAACGGTTGCCGAACGAAGGTCGACGGGGTGCCGCTGTCATCCCGCACGGGCCCGAAAGGCTGCCGCTGCTGTTTCGGGCTCCCCTCGGACATACGGGTTGCTCGAAAACAAACCGGCAATGAGCTGCTGCGGATTCTCGCCTCGACGGTCGACGGCGGCTCGAGCTCATCGGCTATAGCGGACACGCCGCCTGTGAACAGAAAGGGATCGCGAGTTGGTTGTGACGGCCTGCTGCTGGCGAGGAGGGATCACGGTCGGGACTGAAAGTCGAAGGTTTCAGCCATAGCCAAAGGACGGGACTGGGACCAAATTTCTCAGCGGTGTTCGATTTGCCCTTGGATGGTGGTCGGGTGTCACGAATTTCGACCTCGCGACAGCTCAGCAGCGGTTGTTCGGGGCTCGTCGGAGGTTGGATCGTGGCTCGGCGTCCGGAAAAAGCTCTGCCGCTGCCGCTTGATGAGGGTTGCCGACGAGAATTCCTCAAATCTTGTTCGTCGACAGTCTGCTCGCGAGTGAATGAGGAATCTGTTGCTCGGTTTCTCCTCCCACGTAGATACACACGGACAATGATGGTGGAGAAGACGATTTAAGGGCTGGACGGTACAATTCGCCGACCTCGCGTCACCGGTTGTCTGCCGCAAAGGACTCGACGGCTGCAGGGGAAAACGCCGTTGATGGCTTGCTCGCGATGGGCTACTCTTGCGGTGGGTATCTCGCCGGAGATGAAGGTCGATCGGATTTCTCGAGGATGGAGGTAAGGGAGGACAAAGCGAGGTTTGAGAGAGAGACGAGATTTGAGATTTTCTCGATCTGTAATCTCATTGTGGCGACGGGATTGGAGACTTAGGTATTGTGTGGTTAAGTAAGGGAAAGGGAGGGGAGGAATTTTAATGGAAGCGAGGAATTTTATCTTGTTTGGAGGGATTTTGTAAAAGGTGAGTGGAGGGAAATAGTAAACAATGAAAGGAAAAGAAAATATTGTGGGAATGACAGTTATACTCTTAATGATGTAAGAAATAAAACATTAATATAATTTAGATAATAAGGTCAAAAAAGTAATTTTGATGTTAAAAATTTTCCCTCCTCTCCAAATTTCCCCACTTTTGGAGAGAGAGTATTTTCCCTTGGAGGAGGGATTTGAAGAGAAAATCATAACCCCTCCTCCTCCAAAAAATTGAACCAAACAGGAGAAAACTAAAAGATCCCCTCCCCTCCCTTCCCCTCCCCTCCGTTTCCCTTGAACCAAACACTGCCTTAAAAGGGAAAAGAAATTAGGGCTTGAGAAAAGTCACTTGGGTCAACAAAATTAACTAATAAGGGCCAAATAATTCATCTCTTTGGGCCTAATTTAAATCAAGAAAATGGGCCCAGAATTGACTTTAATTGAAATAAAAAAATAAAACAATTTGGGTCGATATGGATCGAAAATGAACATCAATTGGGTCAAAAATAAATATCCGAGGTTCGAGTAAAAAAGGCTCGAAAACGAATCGAAAAGGATTAAAAATCAGTTTACGCGATTAAACCGAAAATCGCAGAACAATTAAAATTCTAACTCAAAATAATTCTAATAATTTACATATATAAATATTATATGAACATATAATAATCATATATATTAGCCACATAATAATTTTATATCAAGCTGAACAAATAAGACAAGCAATTAATATCATAACTGGTAAATAAATAAACTAAGGCAAATATTCAATATAAGTAATTAAATAATAATATAAAAAAATAAATTCAAAAATTCTAATAAACGAACGGGGCGTTACACAAAAACAAGAGTTTTCAAAGGATCGCAAAAAGTCAAAGAAATGCAAAGGATCACTCTCGAAGCTCCGAAGGGACAAAGAATGAGAGTTTCCAAAAATTTACGATGAACATAATTCAAAAATGAAGATGGCTCTGCACCTCACGATGTGCTTACATCAGGCTCGACTATCCTCCTTAAAAGATTCTCTTATAACAAAACATCCCTAGAAAGGTGTCGAGGCTCTCCCGATCAGGTATGCGATGATTCTCACGTACGCCACTTTGGTTCAAAGTTAAAACAGATCAGGAAACAAAATTGACTTTCGTCTATCTCGAGACTAAGGTATTCTCAAATTAACCTATGCATCGACTTTGCAAACATTTATAATAGATAGGGCCTCAAGACATCGGGAAGAGATAAATGAATGGGTTGTTCCAGTGTCAAATAATGCAAAAACATGCATATTGGATACTGAAAGCATTCCGGACATGGTACCTGTGTGGTTGGTTGCCTCGTCGTGGGAGGTAGTGTAGACACGGGCCTGGCCTCCTCTCCTCTGCTGGTAAGGTGGGGGTTTTATGGGTTGTTGCTGCTGCTGGTTCGGACTCAAAGGTTCTGGACAGGCACGGGAGTAATGACCCTTCTTCTGGCAGTTGTAGCAAGTCACGTCGGTAACTCGACACATGTTGGCCTCGTGGACTCGCCTGCATGCTCCACAGGGTGGCGGTCCTGCTGGGAATTGGCGGATAGGCTAAACATTTTACGCCACGTGCTGCTGCTGATGCTGGCGCTGGGCATGGTTAGGGCGCTTGCCCATCTTATGGCTCTCGTGATCATTCTTCCTCTTGCCAGAGTTAGAGGATGAGGGAGCTGAAGCATAGGGAACCGAGTACTGATAAGGTAACTGAGGAATGATCGGCGGCTGATAGGACAACGGGGGATAGGCTGGTGGTGCAGTCTGAACAGGCTGCGAAGCATGGTAGTAAGAGGGAACCGGAGCTATCGGGATAAGACAACTCTCCACTCCCTGTGCCCGACTCACAGTGTCAGCATAGGACATCGGACCGTGACTTCCAACCAGCTCACGAAGTCTTTGGTTCAGCCCCTTCAGAAATTTCCAGGCCTTTTTCTCGTCGGTGCTCACCGTGTCACCGGCAAAGACGCTCATTCGGGTGAAAGAGCATATGTACTCATCGACGCTGGAGTTGCCCTGCTGCAAGTTGTAAAAGTCGTGCTCCATCTGATCCCAAAAGCTCTGTGGAAGAAACTTGCCTCGGACCATCGCCTTCATTTGCCCCCCGGTGAGAGCGTTAAGCTCAGCTTCTGGCCTCCGAGCCCAGTGGTCAATCCACCTGTCGGAAGCATCTGCCTTCATTTGGAAAGAAGCGAGAGAAACACGCTGCCTATCCTGGAGAGGGAGCACAACGAAGATACTGTCCAGCTCCTTCATCCACTCTAGCACAGCGGTGGGGTTCTCAGTCCCCGAGAAAGTAGGTGCATGCATGCCCTGGAACTGGACTATGAGCCTCGTAAAGTCCATGTTCGGAGGGGCCTGCTGGTGAGGGGGAGATGGAGACAGGGATGGCTACCTATTGTTGAGGGTGTTGCGGGTATTGCGAGTAGACATAGCTCTACATTGAATAGGCCGAAAAGAATTTAGCACAATTTAAATAATAAGGGAAGTCTAGAGTTCGCCTCGGAACACTAGAGTTCAAAACAAATAACCCCGTGGAGGATAGATTTCCTAAGCCCCAAATAGAATAAGTCAAGCAATAAAACTCATAAAGTTGAAACATAACTCTATACCACTAGAGTTCAAGTCCGTATAAACGGAGGGTAATTTTCTAAGCCCCAATAATAAAACATACAATAATAACAATTATCATATCACAAGCAATGTCTTAACCACTTATGCATACATACCTTGAGCTGGCGCGGCGAGACGAAAGCGAGTGGTCAAATGGTCGGTAAACACATAAACAAAGAGATAGTCTACAGAAACGCAGACTGGCTCTGATACCAAACTGTAACGCCTCGTTTTATTTTAAAGAATTTACCAAATTTATTTACAAAAAATCAGAGTTAATTTTTCCAAAAATTCAATCTAAAATTTAAAACTCAACGGGCGATACTTAGCTACCGGCAACAATTAAACAATTACGACAAATAGATAAATCCTACACATTTATAAGCCAACAGTTATAAAAATAAACGAACTTATTCATAAGTCTCAACGTCATCCAAAAAGTTTGACATAAATCCATAGTTCATCCAACATAATCATGGTTTCAAGCGGAAGCATAAATAATCCAAAATAAAAGCAAGTAGTTCAACAAAAATAAAAATAGGCGGAAGCAAAAGACACATCCATAATTGACCACCATCTCGCTCGTCTTTACGCCACTGCCTCCAGCACATCTCAACCTAAAGAAAGGAAGAGAAGACAGCAACAGAAAAATAATGGGGGTGAGCATAACCAACAAGCTCACCATAATGGGGGTGAGCATAACCAACAAGATCATGGGTGTCCCACCCCGAACTACTCACGGATCATGGGACTCTTTCCAAGAGACAGTGGAGCTGTTTTTCCCCCCCGAACTACACATGGATCAGGGCGTCCTCCTCCCGGATACAACGAGATAGTGACCTCTCACTGTTTATGCATTCTTCAAAGACACTCTCGACGGGACACTTAGACTAGGGTTCTCACGCATACGACAATTTTCAAACAAAGCATTTATACGAAATATTAAGTGCGATAATTATAGAATACATCACAAATGTACCCACCTGTTTGCAACGATAAATCACAATCACGATTCTCGAAAGCAGGGTGAGATTAACACCTCTAAACACATACATTAACTCAAGATACTAAATCAACACCTTATCTTGACCTAAGACAGAATGCGCAAAATAGACTTGGTCAAACTTGATTCAACCAAGATGTTCGTAAAGTCCTGTGGATGTTGGAACTCTAGGACTTAGACTCGAGCAAACTACTTATTGGAGTTCACACAATTTCAAATAAACGACAATCAAACAAGTCACAAGGAACCACATAACAAGTCGGTTATCAGCACTTAGCAACATTACTATTTGAAACTAATTGCGGAGATTTACACATGTTTAAGAAGGTCCATCAAACCAACGAGTTGGGATCTGAAAATTTAACACAAAATTCACTTCCCAGTACTTAGAAAAACCACCAAGTTTTAGTCCCAAATTCAAAATACACGATTTTAAAAATTCAAACAAGTTATCAGCAAAAACGAACATAATTTTACAACCAGACCTAATGAACGAATCACGACTTGAACTTTTAGCACCATAAGATACAGCATGTGAATATTATCAATAAAAATTCCAACTATTAATATTAAATACACGAATTTTAAAAATTCAAACAAGTTTTTGCAGATTTCAAATTTTCATCAAAACTGAACCGAAATGAATCCAAATAAATCCCATCTTTTTACATACTGAAGCACATCACAAAATCAGCCAAGACACCAAATTCCAGCAATTTACCACACCGGGTCAATTTATCAAAATTAAAACAACTTTCTGCAGATTACTTAAAACAATTTTTAACCCGAGCAAATGAAGTCCAACAATTCTGCAGAAATTCTATGGCGCACATACGGGCACCATAAGCCATGCCACAATTTGATGTGGCATTTATTAATTATAATTATCTTTTCCTACATGGCACACATTAAACAAGATTTCCACATCAATAATAATTAAATAATTAAGGTGCCATTTATAATTAGGATTGTTCCCTAATTAACTGTAAAAGAAGTAAATAAAAAGAGAATCACACGTTCCCAATACCAACTTGCAAAGCTTCCTCCTCATTGTGCAAAGATATTAGATTTAAAGGGTTGATATTTGAAAGGGCTGATATCTGATAGAAACCTAGCACAGGGGTTTTTGATACACTTAAATTATCTCATCTTCTACCTCTGTACACAAAAATATTTAATAATAAATACCTTGATCTTCTACCTCTGTACACAAAAATATAAAAATTAGAGGGATAAGAAAATACCTTCTTCTTTTTCAAGAAGTATCTTGAGTGGACATGAGTCTTATGGTTAATGGACATATGATGGTTTTCGGAATGTGTTCATCGAATTAGGCTATCTTCAAATTTAATAATTTTTGATTTTTTTATCAAAGATCCTGCTAGATTAAAACGAATTTATTTTGATTTATTATTATTATTATTATTATTATTATTATTATTATTATTATTTGAGATGATTTGGGGACACGACTTATGAGATGATTTTCTTTAAGAAGGGATTCTTAATTAACTTTTGGTATGGAAAATCTTTAAAAAAAGTCACTTAATTTATGCCATGGTGGAATTGATAGATATAAGTAATAAAGCCACATCATATGACACCTAAGATTGTGGCATGGCTTATGGTACCCTAATGGGCACCATAGAATTTCTGAAAAATTCTAAATATTTTACACTACGTCTAAATCAGACAGAGAGACAACATATAAACTTTCATCAATTTTGGAACACAACTCAATTTACTATGAAATTAACACGATTCTGTTCAGAAATCACATTAATTAATTAAAATAGCTACAGTTGTCATTTTAATCCGAAATTTTCACACAACCTACATAATCAACAGAGGACATTGCACATAAAATTTCACGGCAATCGGAAGTGTTCATCGGTCGGTTCGGTCGACCAACTGAACCGAACAACGAAACCGAATTAACCGAAATGCTCTAAGTCAAAAACCGAACCGACCGAAATATATACTTAAACCGAAGTATAACCGAACCGAATTATTCGGTCGGTTCGGTCGGTTAACCGATTTTTTACAAAAAAAAAAAACAAATTTTTCAGAAAATAGAACATACATTATTCTCACAAACATACATACATGATTAAAAAATTCAGTCAATATAAACATCTCAAAAATTCACAAACATACAGGATCTTCATTCTTCACTACTAGTCAGCAATTAGAAAATAAAACAAAAATTGAGAAAAGACTTTGTATCTTAGATGGAACTGAGATTTTGTGAGGGAGATTTTGCGCAAACAAAATATGAAAATGAAACATACAGGATCTTCATTCGCCCTTGACGGTGAACAACCGTGTGTGCGCGGTCGAAACCTCCAAGCTCAACGCCCTCGACCGACGATTCAACGACCACCGACAAGGAGTTCCTTGACCGACAACAAGCAGTCACAAACTAACTTCTGCGGACGATTTTTGCGGAGAAGACGATTTGGGGATGATTTGGATTTTCGCAATTTAGGGCGGAGGAGGAGCGATGATGGAAGATTGAGGACGGCGAAGGATTTTGGGAAGGGAGATCGACGGACGATTTGGGGAAGGGAGATGGAGACTGACGGGCGTTTTGAACGAAGTCTGTGTACTGTGTACGTTTAGGAATTAAGGGGAATTAGGGTTATATATTATATTATAATATATATATATATTCGGTCGATTCGGTTTATTCGGTTTTTGAATTCCTAAAACCGAAAACCGACCGAAATAACCGAACAATTATATGCTGAAACCAAAAACCGACCGAATTGAATAAAAACCGAACCGAAATTTTCGGTTAGATCGGTTTCGGTCGGTTTGTTTGGTTTTGGTCGAATTATGCACACCCCTAATCGGAACAACATACAATTTATGGTGAATTTTTCCTATAAAACAGCAATTGTAGACTTCAAAAATTCATATCTCCCAATTTACAAATCAAATTGACACAAGGTCAAAACCATTGTGTCTATGACGATTCCGAGTTCCTTAATCCACAGCAACTTAACACTTATAACGTGTTCTGGTTCAATTCTCACGAATCAACGACGATCACACATAACACGACAATAATCATAAAGAACTGAATCGAACGCATAAATTCATAAGCATGTACTAACACGTAGGGTACGATTAACACATCAAATAAACACGTACTTAATTAACGAAGGATCGAGGCTCGATACTGTTCTCGAAAAGTGCGAGAATGGTTCGAACGGATTGACGGGACAATGGGCTCGACGGCTTCACGCGTCTCCCCGGGAAAGAGGGCAGCGGCTCGTGGAGGTGTTGTGCGGCCGTTGTGCTCGCAGCTGGTACGCTCCGACGCGAAGGAGATGCTCGTCGAGTTGCTGCGCGAAGTCGGGGATCTCCGGAGTTGCTGTGGGGGTCAGCTGCGCGTGGACAGGGGCTCACCGGAATCGTGACGAGAGCTCGAGGAGGTGCTGGAGACGGCGATCGTTCGCGGAGGGAGGGTCGCAAATGGAGGAGGGCCGTCGGAGGGAGGGCCTGCGCGTTGACGACGAGCAGCGGCGATGGAAAAGTTGCAGGCGCGCGGAGGAGGGCTCGCCGGCGCTTCTGCTGGTTCACAACGGTGGAGTGTGGTCGCGGTGAAGGAGGGTGGTGATGATGATGGTGACGGGAGTGAGAAAGAAGAGGGACGATGAGGGATGATGGTCGGATTTAATTTAGCGAAAGCGAGAGAGATTTGGGGGGTGGGTTTTCAATCGAGAGGGAGGAAAGAAGCTGCGGTTTGCACTGTCATGACCGAGAGAGATGAGCGATTAAATAGATGTAGGGTTTAGCTTCTTTCCTCTCAAGAAACATGCACATAACACACACGGATTAGGAAAACCGGGCTCGGGGCGGGTTTGGCTCGCGGGCCGGTTCGGTTCAACTGGGCCGATTCGCGTGCGGATTCGAGATAATAACTCGGCTCTCGAGCTTGGTTTAATCGCACTATTAAATAAATAAACTACTAGGTAATATTTAAACACACATTATTTTTAAATAATAATATTAATAATCAAAATATACAATTAAGTAATTAATTACAATTAGGCAAACAATAATATTTAGACATTCATTAATAATTATAATAATACTTCAAATAAACCACAAATACTGGGGCATTACATCAATCTTGTACACAATAATTTCAACTGGAGACGATATTGAAACATTCAAACTTTGATTAGGATTCTATTTCTGTACTTGAGGTTTTCTATAGATGCTTACCTTTACGATTCATTTGCATCCTTATAGCTATAGAAATTCACTGTGTTTGAACTGTTTTGGTTGATTTCTGGTGAATTTTTTAAAATTTAGGTGCACAATGCATTCATTGTGGAATCTCTTAATAGCTAATATCTTCGCATGGTTGTCTACAGATAATCTTCGCATGGATATATATATATATATATATATATACATCGATTGTCTTAAATTGTACCTAACTTATGATTTCTTTAGCCAGTTCAATAAACTAATAATAATAATAAATAAATCAGAGTCAATAATATGTTTTTTTATCTAGCTTATGATTTTAAATAATATATGCACACTCATATAACTTATAAAAAAATCGATTACTAGTTATGAAACGTGTATGCAGGAATGGATGATCTTTCTGAAAATAGTACTCAAGACGGCTCTTAAGGAAACTCATGCCAAAAAAGGTCGGGGAGCGACACGGATGAAAGACATACAAACATCAGACGGAGAAAAGAAACATGTTACATTCAATCGTTATTTTCAGGCGCAAACGGGCCAGACCCAAAAACTAAGAACAAGTTTAATAGCTACATCGCCGTTCTAGGAAAAAGCAAAGTAAGCATCTTGATACCGGACTGGAGAAAAGTGACTGATAGGAATAAGGAACAAATTTGGCAAGCTTTATTGGTATGATTTATCTATTTTATGAAAACACAATAGTTGGTAATTGAATGCTTCAATGATTTATTGTGATAAAGTTGTACAAGTTATGTGAATAAAAATTTAATGATTAAATGTTAATTATTTTTTGATGAATCTTTATATTGTTCAGGAGCAGTACGATGTGCCAGATAATGAGAAATTGAGAGAGAAAGTATTTTCACGTGCTGGGGATGCTTGGAGGGGTTTCAAAACTAGACTCAGTGATTACATATTTGAAGATAAGATAGGTGTGCTCCCGTATGACGATGGTTACCCTTTTCTAGATGCGGACACTTGGAAGGCTTTTGTTGCGTCCCGTCAAACTCCTGAGTTCTTGGTAAGTTAATTATTATCATGAACATATATAATTTCGAGTCTCTCGTACATTTGGCCATACAATTAAAGTTAAATTGTCGGGAACATTTATATTCAAAAGTGCGTGTAACTATTGTTTCTGTTAACTTGTTTGATCTTTATGTAAGAATTGTTTGAGAGAAAAGAAATGATAAAGTGGATATTTGAGATGGTGAGTTGTTTTTCTTGATTGTGTTTTTAAATCTATATGTATGTAGGAAATCAGAAAAAAGGCTCAGGAGTCACAATTATATTATCTAAGTCCGCACATATTATCTCGTGGAGGCTACCCGTTTTTTATGCAGAAGATTATGGACGAGAAATACAGGGCAAGAAAAGAGGCCTCCACTGATCCGTCCGAAATTATTCCACCCCCAACTCCTCCTTCTCATCATGAATTATGGGAAAGAGCTCGTATAACAAATAAAGGAGATTATGTTTCAAAGGAAGCCGAAATTGTTGCTGACAAAATCGTAAGTGACGTGTTTTTATATTTTAAGTTCCTCGTACATTCATGAATGGATAAAAACTCTTTGTAAATTCTTCTAACCTTTTATGCAGGATTCTTTAGAAGAACAATGCACTCAGGGCAGTTTCAAACCTGTTGGGAGAAACGATATACTCGCAACAGCGTTAAGAAAGCCGGATCATCCCGGCGTGTGATGGGAGTGGGTAAACGTGTTAGGATCAAGGACTTCTTTGGGCCGTCGAGCTGTTTAGGTGTAGGGAAAGATATGGTCTCGCGAGATGAGATGGAAACTATCATCAGTCGAAGGATTGACCAAATGAAAGACGAAATGAAAAATGAAATAATGATGATGATCGACAAAAGCTCTTCGATTGCCCCTAGTCTTAATTCTTCGAGGATCCAAAGCACTACAGAGAGTTGTGCTCCAAATGTGTTCTCATTGGATGAACATAACGAGGATAAAGAATGTGAGTTGTATGTGGAGAACCGACAAAAAATTTTGGTTGCATACGGACGTATCCATAACCTTGGGCCAACCATTCACCACAAGAAGATGAATGAGGATGAAGTTAGGGTTGTCGTGTCACGTGTAGTCGTTGGAGATGCGCCCGTGCCATGCCCGACAGAGGAGGTCACTACCGTAGAAGAAGCGCCAAATAACTTCATTATTTGGCCTCGTAGGTTGGTTAAAGGTGCAAATGCTAAGGTAATTAAAATTACTTATAATAGTATCTTTTTGACTTTATAGTCTTGAATGGTTTTTCGGTTCCTACGAGTTATGTAGAATAAAATAAATCATTTTATGAGTAATCTTATGAATTTACATTCTCTTGGCAATTTTATATGAATAAATTTCTCATTCGTAAGATAAATTTCAGCCGAAGCCAGTGACACCAAAACCGATTACCAAACCTAAGACAGATGTCGTGACAACTTTTTGGATGGCGTCACGTTATATAAAAAATCCAATTTGCATAAACATGCCGGCTGAGATATTTAGAGAGAAAAGAGATTTGTACATATTTCGGAAGGATATAATGGAGTTGTTGCAAAGTCAAAAAACTTTGCATTTCTATCATTGAATTCTTCAACATGTAAGTATTTCTCAACATTTTTTGTCTACTTTTTATCTGCAATTTGAGATAATAATTTTCTATTTTAAATGCTTAATTCAATAATCTTTAATAGTTTAGTATTATATATACATTATCCACTGTATTTGTTTTTAAAAATTATTTATTTTCTGAGTTACCACAAGTATCTCTATAATGTGCTGAAAGAAGCCGAGAAAGAAAAAAAGTTTGGATTTTTGTGCCTGCTCAAAATTCAAACAAGGGGCAATAGTAAGGAAGAGATAGAAGGGTATATTGCGAGAAGAATGGAAAAAGAAAATTACGAGTGTATCTTTGCACCGTACATTAGCGTGTAAGAATATAAAACATATAAAATTCACATTATCTTTGCTTTATTTTATTTTTATTAACATTATATAGAGTTACAAATTAAAAAGTGTACCAATTAAATACATTTATCTTCTGGATTGACAGAGAACATTTGCAGTTGATGATACTTTGTCCCAAACAAAATAAAGTGGTTTGGTTGTGCTCGTTGAGAAAAGATCCCAACACAGAGTTGGTAAACAAGATTAACAGGTATGTTTTTAAATTGATAAATTAGATCGATTTTGTAGTTAACTTTTCTTTGCTAAATGTATTTTAAATATATTATCTTTTACATTTTGGCTTATTTTGTCTTTCAAGTAATATGAATATTTATTATGTTGCGGTGTATTTCGTACATACTTCATGGTTAAGGGAAAACGTAACCTGAAGCCTAAATGTGTTCCACATAAGGTAAATTTATTGAATGATGTTAGGTGTTTTGATTTTTGGAGATTTTTATAATTTCCTTGGTTTTATGCATCGATTTAGTTTGTGTATTATAAATGATGTTTTTATGTTTTTCATACAAGTGTTGAAAACAATTGGGAGATACAGAATGTGGATATTTTGTTATACGGTATAGGTTCGAGATTATATCACTTGACATTACCGACTCGTTCGAAGAGGTAAGTTTTTTATTAAAATCAACTTTTTTTTTTGTATTTGAAATCGCACAATTCAATACAGGTTATAGTGATAATATTTGTTTGTATCATGTAGGCTTTCAACATTGATCAGCCATATTCGGACGAAGACATTGAAAATATAAAATGCGGTGGTCGAAGTACTTTCTTGAGGTTACTTCATTAGGAAAATAGACTTATCAGTTTGCTTACGTTTTATGGAATCTGAACTTTATAACTGTGGTTGATGACTATTGTTGGTGTAGTGCATATGAAAATTATTGTTATAACTTGGCGTTGTTGAAATATTTTGGTTGTTATTATTTGTCATGTGGGTTTTTGTTGAATGAGAATATTTTGAATGTATGAATGTTATTATTTTGCAGTAATAGTTTTTTAGATTTATAGGTAAAAAAAATATATACTTAAATAAAATTGTTGTAAATGCTTAATTTTACATCGGTTTTTATAAAGCCGATGCAAAAAGATTATTTTGACAAAAATGTTTGATGTTGGTTTTCATAGTAACCGATGTGAATACGACTTATATGACATCGGTTATTTTGATAACCGATGTTATATGTCTTTATTTACATCGGTTTTTATCGATAACCGATGTATATTCAACCTTTTTACATCGGTTTGTATAAAAACCGATGTTAAATGTCTTACTTTACATCGGTTGTATAAAAACCGATGTTAATATAATCGATTTTTTCCATTATAACATCGGTTATTTGGCAAAACCGATGTAAACAAGTTTTTTTTCACAACGGTTTGTAACCGATGTAAAAAATACAGACTTTTATCATCGCCTATTTCAACATCGATTATAAAAATGGGTTTTAACCGATGTGAATATGATTTTTAACCGATGTAAAAAGTGTTTTTTCCACTAGCTGATAAAATATACAAAAGTTATTGACTTTTAAATACATTTACAAAATAATGGTTATATGCAATTAATACATGTAATATGACCATAAATAATCAACATATTTATGGATAATACGGACCTAATTTTGGATTGAAAGTAAATTAAAATCTATCCAATCCTCGAAGCATGTAATTTTGCCACATAGGATCTCGAAGCATGCGAGCCTGCCACTTAGCTCAACACGTTCTGATTTAATATATAGGGGGGGATAGTCGAGCAGAGTGATTTATGTTTGAGTTCATGCTCGTTCAATAAATGAGATAAAGGCTTGCCTTTTTAAAATTCATGAAAGTTCGACTCATTTTAAAAAGTTAGTATGCTTAGTTATTAGTGAAATTTTAAGAATGTATTAAAGTAATATTTAGATAAAAATAATTAAAATTGATTTGATATAAAAGTAGGAGATAAATGATTGAAAATGATGAGTAGCTAAAATTACGTGAGCGGATGAATAGTGAACTAAAGTTGATGTGATGGGTAGGAATGGTTGAATGATATTATTTAATTATATTGATAATAATGAGGATAGTGGAGTTCAGTTAAAATTGAGTTAGATTTTGAAGTGTGATATATTTTTTTCTAGCTTTTTTTATATACAAGCAAAGACAAAAATGTAAACAGGTATATCATGAAGATGATTTGTGCGTTCGGCTCGGTTGCTCGTTCAAAATTTGTAGAAAAAAATTTAAAATATAAGTGAAAAAGCTATTAAAGGATATGTTTGGTCTAACTCGTTTAATAAACTAGCCGAATTAATTGTTTGAGTTTAACTTAATTAAATTCGAACGAGTTGAGATTGAACTTTCACAAATCGAATCATATTGTATAGAAAAATAACTTGGTCCGAATAACAGTTGATTTTAAAATAATATTCATGTTACGTTTTTGGAAGAATGAATTAAAATATTATAATTTAAATGACATTGAAATTATATTTCGAAGAGCTGAAAATCCTTCCTATGTCGCTGTTGCAATTAGAAGAACAATTATTGTGGATGATATAGGCGTAAGTAGCGGTTCATGAAGGACCGGTTGTGATCCGAGTTCTAGTTACAGTTATATTTGGTGGGCGCTAGGCGGAGACCAGCTTAACGTGAGCTAGGCGAAGGCAATCGCCAAGGCAGCGGGGCATCTCAGTAGCTAGGCAACTAGGCAGCTAGGCGCCTCGGCACCTAGACAGCTAGGCACCTAGGCAGCTTTGCTAGAGGGTTTGGCCGAGGTAACCAGAGCCCGACGGTGGCTTCGTGGCCAAGTCACAACGAAGTTTGTAGTGATAAGGACTCTGGAGTTCTTGACATCTTTGACCTAATTTCGAGATAAACACGAGGAAGACTTCTGGACCGACAAGAACTCTTTGGCTTGTACATGACCTCACCTATAAAAGGGCACAAGTTCATTCATTTTACACAACACACATACACTA